GGAACCTCGACAAGTCTCATCATGTGCTACCTTAGTTCTAACAACACCGGAACTTATCGATAATATTTTCAACAGTTTACCAATGAGAGAAATTATGAACGTTCGATCCGTATGCAAGCAATGGTATCTTATAGTGAATATTCCAACAAAAATTGCCGCTTACATCAAATCTACCTTTATTCCACGACAAGTTTATGTGCTATCCGATGGACATTTTCACGAAAACAGTGTTCCAGGTATAAATATTTTGGGAGTATATACACACGAACAAACGGTTATCAATGAGATGAGGCGACTACATAAGAAAAGAATCGGTATCAATGTCAATTGTAAAATTCCTTCTCCAGACACATTCCGTCATTTTGATGGTAACATAGTTTCTAATTCTCTTTATAGTGAAGGAACTTATCAATATTTAAAAAGAGATGTGTGGGAGGTTACATATGTAAAATTAGTTAACAGGAAGGAAAAAGGTGTGGAATCAGCATTTAATCTTAATGCCTTTAAAGATCATTAACAATTTTCGACTTTTTCGATTCGATACTCACGTGATTCGAATCAATCACGTGAATAGTATCATCATGTGATGGATACGTTGAAAGGATCGAAGTAAATAAATTAAATGCAGATTTTTTTAATAACGCCAATGCCTATTATAATCAAAAGTTGAAACACAAAAAAAAAAAAAAATTTTTTGCTTGAGATATAAATTAAATGATTTTGAGATAAAAAAAAAAAAAATTTTTTTTTTCCTTCTACCAATCTTCAAATAATGCTTCAAGAACAAAGTCGTAAGAGAGTAGCAATAATTGGAAGTGGAAGTGCTGGAATGGGAGCAGCATGGTTATTATCAGAGCACTCTCCACATAACGTTACTCTTTACGAGCAATATGATTATTTGGGAGGTCATACTCATACAGTTGATTTTACAGTTCCCCCAAATTCATCTTTTTTTCGGGATGATCATCTTCCAATTCCAATAAATCAGTAGCATGAAAATTAAATCTCA